ATCTGGGATATATCTGCTTGTATAGTGAACATGGATGATATCTATTTTCATGGTGCATTGTGGGAAATATAGAGTATACTACTTTTTCATCCACTAGACCTTCTGACACTCTTAAAATGGTGTAACCGCTATATAGGGCACTATATAGTGATTAGGGTAGACAGTCGGATAGAGCCTGTGAAAAAAATTATAGCCACTGGAAAGTTCAAAGGTCAAAACCATTTATGATGGATTAGAAAAACACATAAAAAACAGATATCCATCAAACGTTTATCAAAGAAAAAACAAAACAAAAAAACATTGTAGTAATCTCCGTAATCTAAAACAAAAAAATATATATGAAAAACTGATAACTATGACCTTGTAAAAGATTTATATTGTATTTTGGAGTAAACCTAACTTGTGGTTATGCTTTGCTGATTCAGCAATTGGCTTAAATTGCACTTGAGTTAACCAAACAATGCAAAGCACACAAGTCGGTCCACCTCTGAATGTTACCAAAAAAAAGAAAGCGTTTGCGGTCTATTAAAATTCTAGACTGCAATCCAGTTGTAATGTTTTTTAAATGACCGCAAGCTGTTTTTCCCACAAACTAACTAATCGCTATACATGAAATTGATTTAATACTTACTTAGCTTATTATATAAAATTTGTTTTAAGATCTGACAAAAAAGACAAAACAAAAGACTCCTGAGGACAATTTACTTTACATACTGTATTCATTAAATATTTAAAAATTCAACTTTAAATAAAGTTTCTACCTAATTATCTAAAATAAATGTTAAACTGTGTTGCTGACATCTATTTTGGCCTCTATTCAAAAGTAAATAAATACTGAAAAGACTAACAGAAAATCTTTTTTAAATTTAGATGCAGTTCTCATGTTTTCCATGCATAAGCTAGGCATTAGTTAGATCTCAGACAGAGGTGAGCAACTGTCGAAGATTCTTAGTTTGTGACTTTGGATGGGTCTGAAACTCCGAATCAAGAGACGGTCTAAGCCGTGACACGAGTGGTTCCCTTTAATTAGCTGTAACCAGGAGGATTTGCCTCTGCTGAAAGCTCTTCGTTAAGCTCTCTGTGAGGTAGATATAGCAGGTAAATTAAATGACACCTGATGAAACATTAAGCAAGGATTCAGCTGGAGAAATAAAGAAGTGATGCAACAGCTGGGATTTATTCTAACGAGGAACCACTGCGAAAAGCAGCAGCAAATGCAGCTATTACAACAGCTGTACTCTGGAAATCCACTTGTTCACTTTGACTTTGTTGGGTTTCACTACATATCGTAGCAGAAAACATTTAAAATATTTGCAGATGTCATTTGTGCACTGGCTCCTATTAAGTGATGTGTTTTCCTCTGTTTCCTGCAGAGGCTTGAACTCCTAACTCTTTCCGCTCTCTCAGCCTTTTGGCATTTTATGGCCTTCTTGGTTTCATTTGGTAATAAAAGGTCAGAGCACAGAGTAAAAGCAAACATGGACGTATGTCACTGCTGTTTACACGATGCAACAAACCCACATTCCTTTTTCAGACTTTACTGAAGCTATTCAATACAACAATAATACATAATATATATAAGCTCAAATAAGTTTTATTTAAATATATTTATTTATTTTTTAACTCAATGAAAAAGAGTCAATTTGAAGATCCAACCAAGCAAACACAAGAGTTCCCATCTTATTTCTATCCAGTAAATCTAGAATTAAGCACATCAATAAAATTAAGGGTATAGTGGAGAATTTTCACAAACTTTTAAAAATAACTCCTTTCTCTACTTAAAAAAAAAAAAAAAAAAACAGGAACATGTAAAACCCTGAACCAGCTCCTGAGAGGGAACACCTATTAAACGTGTGAGCGTGCACGAGGAGAAATGGGCTCGTGCACGCTCTGTTTAAAAGTTGCTGTTTGCATCGCTCATACAAGCTTTGTTTCAAGAGAAGATTACAATTTTTCCACTATGTCAGCCTCACCACCGGTAAGTGAATATGGCGACGAGCAAGTAGGACAACCCTATGAAAACATATCACCAGAATGATTGAGGGTTAGTAGGACAGCTTATTTTGATGATCCACTCAGAAAAAGAACATCCTCCACTATACCTTTAAAGTAAAAGCAGTAGGATTGTCATCAAAACATAACAAATGCTCATATGTTATACAGCTTCATTAATCACACATATAGTTGTTTCTGGCATTTATTTCTGTTACTTTTAATAATTATGGCTTAAACCTCCAGGGAGCTCAAAACTCAGCTTTTCAGCCCTATAAATATGGCATAATCTGAATAAAGTTAGGAGATTTTTAGAAAGAAATGAAGCACATATTTTAGTCAATAGTGTGGAAGACTGCTGAGTGACAAGATGGGCAGCAGACAGTTAAAGATAGAGAGAGCCACATAGAGTCATTGTTAAGGAAGCTGGTCGTAAACAGCTTGGTGCAGCAAAAAAAAGCATACTGATGGAAAGTTTGGAATAAAGCTGATTCTAAACTGGAGAGCTCCTTCAGTGACAGACTGCTGCTCCCTAAATGCACCAGGGAGCGTTATCACAGATCCTTCCTCCCAGCAGCTGGAAGACTTTATAACCATCACTGTTCCCAACAACCTCAATAAGTTGTTACATTCATGCTGATTTTGCAGTTTCTATCTTAGTCAGTTAAATAACATGCTGCTGTCATTTTGCACATCTCTGATGCTGCTGCTACTTTAAAATGTCTGTAAAAATGTCCACATTGTGAGACCATATTTTTCTATCATATTTTTGCTGCTGTAACACCTGAATTTCACCATTGTGGGACAATTAAGGGAATTTCTATTCTATTCTACTTGTACTTAAGTACAGCCTTTGTTCACTTAAGCACATGTGATTAAACTGAATGCAGATTTCAAAGCTGTACATTTTCACTGTGGATTTCCCCTGCTGTTGAAAGTTGATACTTAAATAATATATGTTGTATTAGTTTTCTCATCTCCACTCTCACTCCCCGTGTTTTGCTCTATGACATTATAAAATTAGGGATAGTAATAAATGGTCCATTCAAACGTCCATTATCAGCATGCACACCGCCTCACCAGATGGAGTTCTTGATCCTGAGCTGCAGAGCGCTGGCCTCAGCCCCCTGCAGCCCGGGCAGCAGGCCGGGGAGACTCCCCACCCCAGGGTCTGGCTGCTGCGGATCCTCATCAGCCATCGGGGTGCGTCTCTGAGCGGGACTGGGCTGGACGCGACTGAACGAAGACAGGTGTAGCGGGGCTAGTGGACATGGACCGGGACACGCTCCAACGGGACAGCAGCGCGCCCTGTTGTTGTTGTTGTTGTTGTTTCCACCCAGGGCTCCTCCTTCCACATCTCTAGAGTCCCGGACAGGCACCGGCTTCTGGGTCAGCTCAGGCTGCAGGACTCCCTGCGATGGGCGGCTATAAATAAAAAGCGGGGGCAAACAGTAGAAAATAAACTAATCACTCTCTCCTGTGAGCCCCGCTCTGCCCCACACGCTGTGAGATTTGTCCGCATGTGCGCGGAGTAGTAGACACCGGATGTGCGCATGCGCAGTGGAGAGCCCTGCATAAAAAAAACAACTGTCAGCTTCAATCTCATTAAATATATCCTCTAACATTAAGTTGTGATTATCGAGACGTTTACGCCAACTTACGTTTAAACTATTATCGTTTTTGTTCTTTCATTTCTGACTGAAAAATAGAAGCACAAAAGACCAGGTTTAATGGTTTTGACTGGCTTCACTTTACAATTTATGCTCAGAACAAAATGTACCATGATTATTAAAACAGCTAAGTTTTAAATGCATACTCAAGAAAACACATTTAAAACATATATTTTTGCTGGTTTACAGTCTTGGCTTCAACCCTTCCATAATCATCACTCTAAAAAGAGGCACATTTCTTAAGTTGGTAACAGATGATTGAATCAGGTTTTTACAACTTCATTCATTTACAGTGGTTTAACTTGACATCTTATAAACAAAACAGATTAAGTAATTGAATATGATTTAATATCTTGTTCCTAGCTGAAGCAATTAACTTAAGTTGAGCTGTATTAGAGCAGGGGTTTCCCCAGTGGGGGTCAGGTCCCTCTGGGGTCATTTTCCACATCTCTGATGTTGCTGCTATGTTCAAATATCCATTACTGTAAAAATGTCCACAGCTGTATATTGGTCATTTATTCTCCAGCTGCACAGTATTTATATTTTTAAAACACTTTACAGTACAGTATTTTATTTGTTTTTATTATTTTTTTAACTCTTCACTATTATGTTATTTGTATACATTTTCTAAGGATCACATTGTGTTTTCATTTTTTCTATAATCTTTTTGCTGCTGTAAACACCAGAATTTTCCCATTGTCAGACAATAAAGGGATTTTCTATTCTATTCTATTCTATTCTATTCTATTCTATTCTATTCTATTCTATTCTAATATTAGTACACATTGAATGACAAAAATTAAATGAAATGTGTTAGGTTTTAAGTGTTATATTGTACTTATTTGAAAAAAAATCTTATAAATATTAGTAGGTGATCATTTGATCAGAAATAGTGTTATATTTAAGTCTAAAGCGGCGAATACTTTTTATGTTTGAATATAATTCGCATTAATCTCAGGTTTTTTAATAAACGCTAAATTCCAGCAAATTGTCTTGCAGGGGCTTCCGTACATTTGAACAGTTGTTGTTGCTCGGCAACCCCAACTGCGTCTTACTAACAACGATGGCGGAGAAAAATAGTAAGAAAAAAGTTATCCCCGTCCTTTCGCAAGTAAGTAATGTAATTAGTAGTTTTACACTTCCTTTAAGTTATTTTTATGTTATCATCTCCTTGATTTGTGTTGGACTTCTAAGTGGATAGAAAAAACGGTTTACATAGAGCTTTAAATGATGCCTTTGTAATTAGTCAGTTTAGCTGTTTTTGTGTTCCAGAGAAAGACATGTCCATCCTCTGCCAGCAAAGCTGAGAGCTCCAAGAAGCTAGGAGTTAAACAAAAAGCAAAATGTGCATCGAATTCAACAACAAAACACACAGATGATCTTTTTGCCAAGGGAGAGCACAACAAGTAAGAGTATCTGAGATTAAGATTTCATTGAAAAAACACAACTCAAACCTTTACACTACTAATAACCATCACACCATCGCAGAGTCTTAAAAAAGTTAATAGGATGTTTTTTTTCCTGCGGTTCATCCGATTCAAGGATCAACATGTGGTGCAGTCTGCAATCCTTTTCTACATAACAGAGCTACAATGAGTGGTATTTTCAGCTACTGTTCACTCTCATTGCTCTTGTGATTAACAAGACATTTTTGTCCACACAGCTGCCCTTCGCTGGACATTTACTCTTCTCTTTCTTCCAAATTTTTAGTGACAAATTTTATTTAACAATAGGTTTCACAATGAAAGGTTGTTTCTTAAATAATATAAATATGATGCCTGGTGGCCATGTGTTAGGTGTGGCTTATAAACTGACTAGTAAGATGGTACTAAAAATTCTTAATTCTTCAATCAGGCTGTTGAATGCTGAGATAGAGGCCAAAACAGCAAAAAAGGTAAAAGAAGCAGAGCAACTGATGGTGAGTTCTTTGTTTATCTGCTGACACCAATATTTATGGAAATCAAATCTGCTGAAATTCAAAAGCTAAAAGGGTTCACTGATGCAGAGAATATTGAAAACCTAAGTGAGTTTTGAAGGTTAAACTTTCTGTAAAGCTCAGATTAATATTTAGTTTTTTTTAATGGAATTTTAGAAAGAGAAAAATGAAGCTCTATCATCTCCCCTCTCCAATGTGCTCTTCTTGGATATGGAATATGAAGATGAATTTAGGTAAGACCTGTACAAGGGAAGAAGAGTTCACATAAAAATAATTAATGTCCCGCTACATCCGAATACCTCGAAACCTTCAGATCTTGACAATGAAAATAGTAGAAATAACTAAACTGCTAATGTGTGTTTGTTTGTCCAACCATTTTGAAGGCTTAAATGTCTATTAACTACACCAGGGTTTTGCTTATTCCAGAACACTGAAGGATCCTCCTCAGAAAGATGATACAGCAGCTTTAGAAGATGAAGCTGGTTTCTTCTTAGCAAAGACTATTCAGAGCATGGAAGAGAAAATGAAGGACTCTATTCCAGAAGATATTGTGGATAACGCAGAAAATGATGTGGAATCAGGTGACCTTCTGCAATGTTCATGTGTATCCACTTCATCTCTTCTTACAAAACTTTTTATTAAAAATAAAACATTTGTCATTTCCATGTTTGGCCGGTTCCACCATCTTTAGAATTTTAAACAGGGATAAGACATTTTTTGTCTGTTGTGCTATGCCATAAAAAGAAACAACTGTTTATTATATATTTGTGAGTAATGATCAGCGTCTGACATTTTAATAATCTGTTAGATTCATAATCAGAAGTTAAAATCACCAACTCTGAAGTAGGATAAATCAAGGCAAAATGCAGAGATGAACACTTTAATAGTTTGCTTACCTGAAGTCTGAAAATAACACCTAGCAAATCCCAGTAACTTTTCATTTTACAGTGGGGGCATGGGTAATTTAGGGTTAGCATTAACTTTTTTCCAGATTGAATCTGAATCAAACACAGTATTAAGGATTACCACTACTGGTTCAGTGTCTTCATGCTGGGAATTCTGGAAATGCATCCAGTGTATGTCCAGTTAAAATAGTCGGATGAAACAGAAAAAGCTCCCCTGTGCTTTATGTTCTACCTTATTTGTTAATATCTTAAAATATTTCTTGCTCAAAAGAAAAAATAATAATAAACAGTGAGGACATGTTTGACCCTTAGGAATCCAGTACTTGTAATTTACAGATTGCTTTAATCAGACCGTAATGATTGTGTTTCCCTTTCCAGCTGTTTCTGATGCTCAGACACGAGTGCTGAAGGCAAAACTTCGAATTATGCAGGAAGAACTTGACCTGCCTTCTTGTGATTATCATACAAAGGTAAACAGAGCTATTAATATGAATCCCAGAATGCACCAATTTTAAAGGAGTCGCTTCAATCCAGCTCTTGGACTATATACTTTATCCACAGACAGTATGCAGCAATTGTTCCTTGTCTTTTAGGATGCAGAAAATTCTAAGCTGACGGCAAAAATAAAAGAGTTGGAGGAGGAAAGAGCCAGACTGCAGAGGACCGTCAGCATCCAGCAAACACAGACGGAGAAACAGAAAGCTTTAGCCGAAGAGTTGGCTAAAAAATGTGATGATCTCCAGCTGCAAGTGGCTGCTTTAAGCAAGGTTTGTGTCAGTGACTACATGAATACTACTTGTTAGAATTTTGATAGGATTACTATGTAAAAAAAAAAAATAAATACTGTCACAAACGGCAGCATCATTCATCCTTCCTGCTAGCTGGTCTGGCCCCATGACTATCATGTCTGCTCTGCTCTGTGTAGGAAGTAGAAACTCTGAATAGGTCCCAAAAGCAAGCAGCAGCTGTCCACGGGACGGTGGAGGTCCGCCTTAACAGAGCTTTGGAGGAGGTGGAGATGTTAAAGTCCGAGCTGAGTAAGGCCAAGCAAATCAACAAGGTAAGAACATGTTTAATTACTCAGATACTTAGATAAATACCAGAAATCTTTGTTATAATTGAAGTTATGTCACTACTTTTACTCAACATGCTTCATGTTATTCTTACACATTTTTCTAAGGTCCATATTGGTGTGACCATTTTTTCTATAATCTTTTTGTTGCTGTAAACACCAGAATTTCCCCACTGAGGGACAATAAATAGATTTTCTAGTCTGTGTTTGACAAAAAAGTAATAGCGGCAACATTTGGATTTAAAACATAAACTAGACTGGATCAACACAGGAAGATTTAGAGTCCAAATATTTTGTTAGCTACATTTTAAGTCACTAACAAATTACGTTATGAATTAAAAAACTTAAAACTGTATGCAACCTGATGCATAGGCTGATAAAAAGTGAGGCTATGATCCGGTATAATGTCTTGATTTTCTGTGTGTTGAATTAGGACAAGATAAGTGAAGAACAAAGTAAAGAAAATCTGCTTGCTGAAAACCAAATTCTTAAGAAGCAGAAAGCTGAACTTGTTGTTGGGTTCAAGAAACAACTGAAGTTGATTGACATCCTTAAAAGACAAAAGGTGAGTATCTTTATTTTACACCTGTACTGGGTTCATGTCTTTCTTAAAAAAAAAAAAGAAAAAAAAAACTTAACAAGACTTTGTGTGAGCAGATGCACTTAGAAGCTGCGCAGATGCTGTCCTTCACAGAAGAGGAGTTCATGAAAGCTTCGGACTCGGGGAAGCCATGAATGTGGTTCATCAGTTTGTTTTTTTTTAACAGTAATTGTTCATAGTGTACAACTTTTTCGTTTTATTTAAATATTTCTGTTTTCACAGTGTAACACATCAGTTTACAAGAGCTCAGTTCCTTTATAATTTAACTGGATTCCCTCCCACTGAATGTTTTTTGAACTGAGCATAAGCATAAACAGAAAAATAACTTCAATATATAAAAACATTTCAAAAATAAAGGTGTTTCTTCTCTAAACCTGTCACACATTCACTGCAGCAACGCTGACATCTAGTGGTCAATGAAAGGAAAAACGTTTTCTGAAATCTTGCTCGATGTTCCAGGTCTTCACTATAGAGAGAACCTTCTGAAAAGATGCTGATATTATTCCTGAAAACATTAACAGGTGTAAATGACATAACATTAAATCTCCAGGAGCTTTAATGTAAGAACCTTCTTCCTCCATGACCACCTCTGTGCTTTCCTCTACTTTCCCACTAATTCCTTCTTGAATTTCTGATCTCTTCATGATGATAAAAAGCAACATCTTAATATAGGGGATCACTTAAAATGAAACTAAAACAGATGGCATGTAAAACATTACTGACCAATTAGTAGGAATAGATGTGCTGTAGGATCACAATTATTTACAGAGGGATTGATTCAGTGACTTTAGAGCCTCATCTGGTTTCTATTGTCCTATGTCAGATTTTCCACGTTTAATTTCCTTAATGCCCTATTTTTAGGAACCCATCTGCTTTATCTGTAAACATATAATTTATCCTTAAGTCCTGTTTGTTCTTATTGTTTAAAAGTATTTTTAAGGTCTGCTGCATCAGAGAGCAAAACTTCAATAAATACTCCAAAAGACTTCAGATCTGTCCAGCCTTCATTTTCTTCCGGTAAATGGTAAAAGGTTAAAGAGGTGAAACCTTTTCTCTCAGACACGTGACTCCTCCCGTTCTCTCTGGATCCCATGGTTCCCTGCCAGTAAGGTCTCCTCTTGGGTCACCCCCATGAAATCACCACAAAAAGGCTCTCTGGAAGCAGCCTAATTAGATCATACCCAGCTCCTTTTAAAGCAGAGGAGCAGAGACTCTACCTCATGACTACCCCTTGAGGTTTGGTACATTAAAACCTAAAACAGGATCAGGAGGGGTTAGAAACAGTTGTTCTCACCAATATACCCCTTGAACAAGCTAAATGTTAAGTTTTTGCTTTGGTCATAAAAAAAATTACCTGGCCTTTAGACATAACACAGTATCCTGAAACATCCCTAAAATAGCTCAAGGGACCTGGTAGTAAGTTCTCCAGATCTACATTACTGATTACCCAGAACTTCCCAAGCATCTCAATCTACAAGAAGAAAAAGTCTTTAATCAATCATCACTTCCTCCGACACTTTCCGAGAGACATGTTACCATCTCTTGGAGGGAGCTGGTGGATTGGTTCCCTTCCAAAGGTGTATTTAGGCAAACACAGCAATACTTAAGAGCACTTTGTACCCAACAGATCCCCTTGAATGTCGTTTTATAAGGTCAGAGATAGTTTGAGTTGTTAAATACAGGAGCTTCAGTTCTTAAAGGAGATTTTGAAACAGTGTTTTCTTGAAACAGCAGAATCCAGTCTTTTCTGAGCTCTTTCTGAACCCTAAAACCTGATAGGTCAACTGGTCTCTCTAAATGACCCTTAGGACAGGGAGTATGGGCACATGATGGTTTGTCCTGTGTGGTGGACAGGAGAGTTGTCCAGGTAGGCACCCGTGACCCAGTGAGGATAAGCAGGTGTAGATGATATTCCTGTTAAGACACTAGGGGATCATCATAAGATCACATTAAACACTAGGTGAGTTTATAAATTAATTTTAAGGAGCTAACGGGGGGCTTTTTTCCCCCTGTCATCTGAATCCAAAACTCCAGTATAGTTCACAGATGAGGAAAAAAAAAAAAAATCAAAAGTAACCAAACAAAAAGGGACCGCACTCCAAAACCCCCTCAGAACTGGTCTAAAGTGGATTCGGAAATCCAATTTTACTGGATTGTTTATTAACTGCAAGTGGAATCTGCCTGTTGATTTGAAGCAAAGAAAAAAAGAAAAATTCAATACCTAACAAGTCTTCTATGCAAGATTTATTTACAGAACAAAAGCAGTTCTCTGCTGCTATAACCCATGATGCAGATCCCTGTATAATGTAATGTATATAGGGATCAATATGGCAATATCATCAAAACATTTATACACAATGTAAATGTATTTACAGGCTTTTTTTACTGATAAAATTAAAACAATGAAAGTGGCTTTTTGAAATATTCCCATATTCTTAAAGGAACATAGCTGTGACAGAAAACTGACATGGTTACAGTTCTGGCCGACATTGATTTGGTTACCTTAACTATTAAAATGTGTTTATTTCTCAATGTGCTCTTCCGAGACACATTTTTCATACAGCTCTCCTTAGGGATAACATCCAACATTGTTTTCTTTTAGTAACTCAAAATCTTGTTGAATGAAAGGCCATTAATTTGCTAAATGCTGGGGAATTTCCTGTAAATTTAACATTTTATGCAAAAGTTTGCTTGAGAAGAAAAAAAAAAAAATCCCACACATCACATAATGACAGCAAATTACAAATTAAAACAAAACATATTCCTGGTAATTTAAACAATCTAAATAAGAAAATGGATGTCTCTACTAAAGTTTCATAAACTGCTGAAACAATCCCTAAAACAGCTGAGTTATATTTCCTCGTGCATGGTAACAGGACCATTAAAACTCAAAAGCTTGACTGATTTTCGTTTCCCAAAGTAAAACATCTTTTGTCATTAAGATAAAAGCTTGTAAAGCAATTAAAAAATATATATATATAAACTTTCCAACATGAAAAAAGGAGAGTACTATTCTTTAATGTTTCCTAAAGGATGTTAACTTAAATGCTGCAAAGACTACACAACAGTATTTAAGAAACAAAAAATGAACCTAAAATATTCAAGTCTAGCGGCAAACCGACGGTATCCCGGGATCAGCAGGGATGCAATACAATCTGTTGGGCTTTTTATAAAGGTACAGGTGCTGATGAAACCTTTGAATAACATTTGAAATTGACCTGGTTGGAGAAAAGCAGTAATGAATAGTCAAAGCGTGACAAATGTTTGATATCCTCAATGTGTTTTGAAAACAATGTAAAGGATTTGTTTCACCTGTCCCTTCTGCTGCGTTAAGGTTCATAACTTAAGGCGTCTTTTCTCCTGTCAATGGATCCAACAGACTGTCTGAAGCCGACGGCTGATCGATGTCATTCAGCCGCTCAGGCTGACCCTCAGCTTCCTCAGAGGGAACTAAGAGCAAATCTGCTGAACATGATGATGATGCGGCCTCCAAAGACGAGCATTTTGATTCAGTTCCCTCATCTGCACAGGGTTTTATCGACTCATTTTCCTGATCACCTGCTGGTAAAATGAGCTCCGATCCAGGACGGCTAACATCAGTGAGATTGTCACTTCCAGCGGTGTTATCTAGGGATTCTTTGGAGTCAATTTCTGTCGGTTCTACAGGCGCTGTTGTTGGCAAGGGGGGTGCTGTCTGGTTGTCATCCCCTGACAGCTGAAGATTCCTGCATCAAACGAAGCACGTATAAGTATATTTAGATGTCACCTATATGAGGTTTTATACAGCACAAAATTTACTTTTTTTAGTTTAAAGTTGCTCTCTACATAAAACTCAGAGGTTACAGCTATACATAAACAGATAACAGGAAAAAGTGAATGAATGAACTCAACAATGAACTCATTCAGCTACAGATGTCCAACATAGGGAGACATCTTTCTCCAGTGATGCCTGAATCTGCCTCAGTAGTGTCATCCACAGCAAAGTTACTTAGACAATGCCAAAAGACTTTTACCCCTTTCTGTATTTCTAGTGTTTTTGCATTTTTGTTGTCCTTTTGTGTTTCAAATTATCAAAGCATAAAAGCTGGTAAAGATAACCTTGTTAACCCTGTAATGCCAAATGTATCATATTTGATACATACGGTTTCTGAAATGTTTTGCGTCTGATACCTTTTGCATAATTTAATGGTAAAAACTTTGCTCAAAATCCTATTGTACACAATCAGATATATCTGATAACAGAGGGCAGAAGACCACACAAAAAATAATCTTGACTTATCGCATAGTAATAAATTATTAATATCAAAAATGTATTTCTGTTTTTTCTTTTTACATATTTTGTTAAAAGGCCAAATAAGACTTCAAACCAAAAAAATGTAATTTTCTGTTTTGTTTTATTCTTGGATTGGGCTTTAAAGTGTTAAATACAAACAGGTGTTTTCAGTGAAAAAAAGGTGAAAGGGGAAAAAAATGTTTAAAAACCAACATGAACCTGCTTTAAAAAAACAAAAAAACTGCATCCTAAAGCTAACCACCAGCGCAATCAAGTGATTGGTTGGTTCTTTCTGGGTGCCACAGATTAAATTAATACAAATATATTTGCTACCACAGAAAAAAATTATGATCCGTTATCTTATCCAGACAGCTGTATTAAAGCTGCGCTTGTGTATATACAAGGAAACTTCATATCCCCAACAAATCCAGACTGGAACATAAAATTGTCCTCCTCACACATGAAGCCCTTCATAATCAAAATCCAGCATCTATCAGATTATTTATATTCCTAACAGAAAACTTCCCTCCCAAGCTGCGAGTTCTCTGGTGATTCTTAGTGTTCCTGAAAGAGGAATGGGAGGCAGATCTTTTATTTTCAGGCTTCTATCCTGAAAACCAACTCCTTTTTTATTCCGAGGGGCAGACACCCCAACCACCTTTAAGACCAGACTTAAAACTTTCCTTTCTGATAAACCTCATAGCCCGAGCCACTCTATGGGGACGCTGCTACAGAACAGGAGAAAATAATACAACATCCTGCTACTCACCAACAATGACCCATCTGCAGTTACCACCAACTTGACAGTCCGTTCACTGCTTTTTTTCCTTATTTATGACTAGATTTAAACTGGATTTTATGTAACTGACTTTAAAAAAAATGTAAATAATTGATTTCAACATTTGTTTATAAATTAGACCTGCTTATCTTACAGAAGGCCTTAAATAACATCGGTTGTGACATTGAGACAAACAGATTTCACCATTGTTGTTCTTAGATACATATAAGCCCTGATTACATTCACTCCAAGTATCAGAATGTGTGCTGGGGTCTCTAATCAGTATGAAGGCCAATACATTTAGATTAGGAAATCCCAGGAATAGCCCTCTAAACACTGCCTGGTCAGCTAACAGGTAAAACCATGGAGGAATAATAGTAGTTCTTCATTGTGTTATTCTTTAAAGAAATGAGATGTAATGTCAGCAGTCAGGAGTTTCTACTCACACTGTGCCTTGGTCTTTGTCTTCAGCTCTGATATCTGTTATGTTCAACCAAAAAAGAAAAATACTTCTTTCTTTACTCACAATAAAAAAAATAATCCTGCAAAGTGCCACAGAATTTAAAGATACAAACCTTTTTCCTGGATGACTTTACATAAGTGATTTGGCTGATCTGTTAAATGTTTGGACATTAGGTCTCCACCAGAGGCATCAACATGTAGATCACAGTTCAGACAGATGAGGGTTAATCTGAACAAGCAAATAAAAAAAAAATAATACAACACTTTGTCTCATTTCATTTCAGATCTTTAGACTTCAACAGAATGCAAAACAGTTTGCTTACTTCAATCTGGCTAAATCCTTTTTGCGATCCATTTTCAAAACCCTCCTTTTGAAGGTGCTATGAAATCTGATAGAAGGGAGGAAAGGCAACATCAGATGCTTTGATATACAATGCAAGAATCCCTATTAACATAAAATGAATTATTACTTACTTAATCATGTGGTTCCCGTAAGATATTTTGCAACCTGTCCGATAATTGCATGCCCCGCAGTGTGAAAGTATTGGAAAATGGGAGAGGAAGTCGTCCACATTGGAGTTACACTCGATGCATGTGAAGCTGCCCCCACTGGTACTGAAAACACAACACAAAAAAATTATAACATATAGAGAAGGGCAGACATATTTTAACATTTCTTTGTAAATTCTGTTCAGCTGCAAATGCCAATAATTAATTTGATCAAAGGTTACTTCAAACTAAATTTCTCAGCCTTTTACACCATATATTTAGCAAGGCAAACTTAATTTGAATCATCTGTAAACTGCAAAGCTAATCCTAATTTAGGATGTTCACAAAAGCATGATTAAGGTGCTTCATGTTCTGAAAATGAGGATTCACAGCAAACTCTTTGATGGATGTATATTTTTGTGAGGTAAATTTTCTGTATTTAGAATAAAGAAACCTGAGATTCTTGAGCGCCAAGTTGTGCTTGGGATGACGCTCTGTCTTTTTGTTCGGGGCAGTCTTGACCTTTCCTGTGCGAGCGTCTTTTGTTTTAGACCTGCTGAGGTTAACTGGAGCCTTGACTTTAAAGTTGGGGAAACACATTGGTTCTGGAGTGACGACCACAGCGGATTTATGGGAATTGAGTGGCGTTACGGGTCCTTTTCCAGTCAGGGAGGCCCGGATTGTTACCTGCAGCAACAAGAGATACTTTAATGTGATATAAAGCATTTGTACAGAAATAAAAATCTCCAGCTGATCATTTAACGACTAGCTCAGACCTTGGTACCCGGAGGAAGGCCCTCCAAGGCTTTCGGCTTCCTAAATGTCTTGTGGACGTGAGTCCTGTGCTCCACTTTTTCCTTGTAGGTGAGGAAGTTCAGTCTACATTTTCCACATCTATGGATCCCTTTTTTCTGAAATATAATAACTTTGATTGATAAACCTACCTCAAATTTATTTTCAGATATAAAAACAGGTAGAATCCCACCATTGCACTTTTAACAGTCTCTAAAGTTAGAGTTCAAACACAACCTTCAGGTTAGACATGAATTTAAGAAAGTGATCTTTCATCCACACCCTTATTCCAACCAAACAGACATTTTTCCCCCTAATTGTGGCAAAAATATGTTTCTATCATATCATATTGTTATATTTTTTACAATATCAATTCAAATTCCTCTTCATATTATGGGTGTTGGCATCGTACCTGATGCTTCATGTAGTGTTGCATGTATATGTGACTCGTTCGGAGAACTTTGAGGCAAAACGGACAGAGCAGGTCTTTCGTGTTCTCGTGGACACTTCGGAAATGTGCCTCCAAGTCAGAGAAGAAGGAAGACCTAAAATCGCACACCTGTGGAGTCGTTTGAACCCAGTGTTAGCGTCTGGTTGTCTTTTTCCCCCAGCATTAAGTAAGCAATAGCTGAACAAAAATGACAAGCAGTAGACCTGGCAGACATAAGGCATTTCACCAGGTTTGTGGTGGGCTTTCATGTGTTCCAGGAGCACCTGCTCCGATTCAAATGCCAGCTCACATATCTTGCAGTTGGCTGAAGGAAAAAAAGTAAAAAAAAAAAAAAAAAAAGGAATCAGAAATTAAATGTATACTTCGCCTAGAAAAGGTATGATAATAATCTGTGGGCTGAGCTGCATGGATCGTGTTACTTGAAGATTCAATGGGGCTGTGAGCACTCTCTATGTGGCACTGCAGCTGGAAGGGGGTCATGTACTGTCTGTAGCAGTGGTGGCAGGTTGTGTGGCTCTCCCAGCTCTCACTGTTCTGCTTTTCCAGCTCCAGGTGATGCTTCATGTGGTTCATGAACCTGCGGAGAGACCGATGCACAGAGTTAGTCTGGAGAAACCATACTTCTTTCAACAATTAATAATGAATTGGTTCTTCAATTAACTGGAGAATAATTAGTTGATTAAAAGAGGATTTTTATCAAATGTTTTTGGTATTTTAGTTTTTTGATGCAAAATAAGATGAGAAGAAATCAGTTATTTATGACTTGTTTACATTAGTCCACGTCCTTGGGGATTTTTAAGATAAATGAAGAATTCTCCCCACCACTCACTTTCTAAGTACGTATAATGGGTGTTATAATATCAGCAATTATATGGGGATCTTTTTTGTTCTTCCTAATGATGTAGAGCTCCATGGCTGCTTACAGCTAGCTGCCACCGCTGCCCTGACAAGACACAGCCCATTTTTCCTCCTGCACATTTCTGCAGCCTCAGCTCCCCCAACAGAGATTTTCCTGCAGATGAACTATGACCCCCGACTGTGAGAGCCCCATACCAGTACAAATGAGCTTCCCCATTAAAAGCAGCTTACAGAAGCCTTTTTTGCCACGTTCCGAAGCAAAGTTATTCAATCAAAGGGGCAGTTTTTGCGCTGCGGAAACTAGAAGTCGTTTTTCATTTTTAAGCCCAGGAGGGAAAACGCTGTGATGCAGTCATCTATCTGAGAGGGAAGTTAGGGCAGACCAAAAAAATGTACACTGCTCAGGTATTTGCACAAGACGGATATCTTTCCAAGGAAATCTTTATTAAAGTCCTCAGCTGCTGTTTGAGAACTTGTGTATCACTCTGTGATGGAGGTTTGACATCCAACTCTTTGGTTGAGATTGGTATTCTCAAAAACAAAAAGGAAAACATGTAACAAGAAGAAACACTAAAACTTAATTACAGCATAAATCAATTGCTTATTTCTCAAAAGAAAAAAAAAGAAAAACACCTTTAAAATTCAAGATTTTTCTACCTAAGGCTCTTTTCTCTCACTTCAAGTGCACTCTCTGGTTCACCCAAAATTAACTAATTTCTCAATATGAGTTGGTTTTTGAAAAAAAAAAATAAATAAATAAATAAATAAAAACTATTTTTTTCTGAGCTTGCAATCAGCTGTACTTCTTTGCTTATATAATCCACCATTGTTGTGATGAAGGATTGTTGATACTCTGAAGTTGCATAAGTTCTTTCTCAGTCCAAAACGTGTGGTTTCAAGCTATGGGCTCGTTGCCATAGTAACCACATCAACTACTTGTTGGATGATGTTATTATTGCAAACCTAAACTAATGAAATTATGAAAACTAGAACTACCGGTAAAAAAACAATTTGTTAACTGAAAAATAAATAAAAACTAGCACACAGAAAAACTACGGTAACTGAAAAAGTAATAAGTTTATAAAAAATAATGACATTAGTAAATTAATTAAAACAAACTGATTTTAAAGAGAGAATATGCTTAGTTTTTCATTTGTGTCCTAATCAAATGCGTTATATAAGGTCTAGTTTCTGTTGCTGTTTTCGCTTTTCTTCGCTGTACTGCATTATGCAAGCAGATGGCGGGTACAACAGTCAGGTCATTTGTGTTGCTGGAGTAGCCTGTAAATATCTTGGATTTTATTTCTATTATTATTATTTTTTTTTTCTTTATCTTTTTTAGTCTTGCCCACAGTTTTTAAGTCATATTACACAAAACACTTATATACTAATACTAATAAAAACTCAACTGAAACTGAGCGTTTAACCTAAACTAAGAAATTTTTTTTTAAACTAAATAAGAATAAAATGTCAAAACTAAACCTGGATACCCCATGGTGGTCCCTTCTTTGCAAACATCCACAGCTAAGAACAGTGAGGCAATAAAAATACCGAGGGACCAAAGTTGCAGAGAAAACCTTCCACTTAGAAGATTTTTCTTATCAGCTATTTGATCTTAAATTGTTTGAACAAAGGGAAGCAAGATGTCTTGAGAAAGCAGACAGATAAACAAAAGCACATCTCTGACCTCTTTCCCACTGACTGCGTTCTGTATCTGCTACGTATCCTTCAAAGACAGGCTGGATCAGCATTTATGACAGAGGAGGGCTCTCTGTTATGCTACAGCTCCACACTGGTCGGGTACTAGTGTCCTATACTAAAAAGCCTTGATGGCTCAGAAATGTCAGGCCTCATTTATTATATTTCCTCCTTCCTTTAATTTCCTATTGTAGAGTAACAATAAAAAATCCAGTCCAAATGAAAGAGATATGGTACATTATTACGGGCACATAACTAAGGGTACACTACTAAGTAGAGATTAACTTCTTTTATACCTCTTTAGTCTTAAGTAAACTATTACAAGAGTTTATTTTCTGCTGGAAGTATTTTACTAAAAGCTATAATAGTAAAGTCTGCCAACCGGGTGTAGGGGGGACAACTGGAGACCTTGTTTCAGGGTAGAGGGGAGGCCCAAAACCAGAACACACTAACAACGTATAGACATTATTATTATTTTCATTCAAAAAACATGAGAATATCTGTGTGAAGGAGTGGGTCAAAATATTTAGCTGCCCACACCTGCTGCAAAGAAAATAAACATACCTAATATTGTTCTTGAGAACTTTTAAACAACTTTGACATTTAAAAGTTGTGTTGGTCTTCTGTGCCTCCTTTTTCCCTGCATCTCCTTCGAAGCGGCCGTAGTAAAAATCTGCGACAAGCATGATGAGTTTGCCTGAGTTGCTCGCGTTCGGGGCTGACGGAGCTGCACTTCCACCATTCGCAAGACAACGCTGGAAAAAAAAAATCTTTAAGTCCACGGCTCAGCTTTGCCCTTCCGTGGAGCAATAAATGACTTGGGAACAAACAAAACTAAATGCCAAGATTTACTAACCACGCTATGAAACATTACAGCCTCTTCTGAAGGGAAATCTTCGTGACATTTGGGGCAGGTTCTCTTTAAGACGCCGTTTTCCACTTGGATGGTTACTTTCACACAGAAACAAGACAGAGGTCACAAATAATAGGTCATGAAAAGACAACAATAAACAACATAGTGATGTTATTATAAAAATGAGAAGGTCAAAAACATATATTTTGAGATGAAACCTACCTCCATCACGCTTGACCTTTTTTACCGCCATGTCAACATCTGATACAATCAAACCCCGTTTGACGGAGCTCTCATCTGAATGAAGTAAAACAGAAAGCATTTTCATTTTAAATCCCACCGGGTTGATGTCAAAATAAGGCAAAAAAATTACACCATACCGCTGATGTCCTTTCCAGAAACGCTTTGGATGGATGGTGTGTTGGACATTTTGGGCTGCAGCTGATTAGACTGAACCGAATACACAGCAGGGCTCTGGACGTTAGCCAGAGTCACCACATTGTTCCTGATTTGCTGAACCTGAGGCCGGTGGACCGCACCTGGCAATACTGTAGCTGGAGAGACCTGCTGAAAAAGCTGCTGACGAGGGGCTGAGAAAAAAAAAATGAAAGAGGTGAAATATTTTGTTGTAATCTGTTGAGTTCAAGTCTTCTAACAAGTACAGATATGTGAGACCTACCTGGTACAATTGTAAATGATGTTCCAGGGGGATACTGGCTTCCAAGAGTGGCAATAAGGCCACTGCTGTTTGTTAATTGCAGAGAAGTGCCAATAAAGCCCTAAAATAGAAGGGAAAATCAATGTGAGATGTATTTGTGTAATCATATTGTTTATTCCCCCTAAAAACGAATAATCTAGGTAAAATTACCTGATTATTAACTATAACTGGTTGTGGAGTTCCTGTTGTGAGGGAGGGAGGTACGGTTTTCACTGTAGTTGCAGGAGCATTAGCTTGCAGTACTATAGGTGAGGGGCCTGCAGCTGCTAGTTTCTTTTGTTGAGGCCCTGCACTGTTCCTCCGAGAAGGTGCAGGGCTGGGTTTACTGTCCTTTTGTTTACCAGCTGCAAGCAGAAAATACACGTAAGGAGATGCACCACCGACTTTCACCAAAAACACAAATTAAACTGCTGCATTGGTAGATCTGAAAAAACTGGAAGTTCACTGATTTTAAGCAGTTTAATTAAAGTGAATATTAATTGTTACATGGATTATGATTAAAAAACATTTAGTTTCTAAAAAGAACTAATAATATAAAAGACCAATAAAAGAAATTTTTAGTCATGCCCTGATAAAACCTACATAATTCCAAAACGCAGTCTATTTTTGTGACAGTGCAATGTCGTTAGTTGCTTCCAGGGGCGCTAAACTCTGAAGGTCTAGTGCGCCTAGTGGCTAAAAGTTACTCAGCGCTGTTTTAAGTTTAATTGTTTATACAGAATTTAATAATTGTTAAAAAACAACAATCCTTTTCCTACCACGCCCCTGCAATTACATAGCACACCTTCACTTTGGGAACCACTGTACCAATACAGCATGGGCTTCCCTCATACCCCAGCAGGGCTACAGGTGGATTGCCTTCATTCCAGGTTGTACAGATACAGTAAATCATGTAAAAGGAGCCGAGCTTTCAGTAAGACAATAGTTATTTAGGGTAAATACTCTTTCACATTTGCTGGTCAAATTTTAATGTCAAAATTTTCAGTGAAACTGAAGTTTGACCTTTTATTAGCCATCAAAATATCACCTGAAACCTTAGTAATCTGTATCAGCCTCTGTTCCTCAAATGGGCAAACTCAAAGAAAGTGACTTTCGTAAGATACTATATGTATGGTCTAGAACGTACAGAGAACTCCAACGAAGATTGGTTCGTCATCATCATCATCGTCCTCAATTAAATGAATCTGAGGAACTTGTTTCTGCCACGGCTCTAGCTCCTCCTCCACGCACTCCATAAACAGTTCAGACATGGTGGACCTATGGACGAAAAAAATAAAAAATAATGATAATCTTGAACACACATTTTTAACCCTTTCATTCTTCTGTCTTTAGGAACCATAGGTCTAACCTGGCAGTAGCCAGATTGATATGTGTAGAAATGAGTTGAGTTCTATGTCATCTATTTTAGCTAAAATCAAGTCAACTGCGGTATCGACAGGTGGGTCCTCCAGCGTAGCCATGTTTGTAATCCCAGGCAATAACCATCTGACTATTGTCATTCATACATGTCCCTCCCCAAAAAAACACTGCTGCCATATCTTCGGTCCGACTCACTGGTTTTCACGAGACAGATGTATTACTGGGAGTATTTCAAGATGGATTTGTTGTGAGACTAAAAACTTAGACCTTGCGACAATTCAGCTTGCAGCGCAAGGCTACCATAGGTCCACTGAAATAAAAACCGATCTAGCAAAAAAAAAAAAAAAGAGACATTTAATCTTAATGTTTTGGAGTTAAATCTATTGCATTTATTTTAAGTAGCTGGACTTCTGTCTGATATAGGTAAAAAAGTACCAACACAGCATTGCATTCCCAAATCTCAGTTCTTATTTCAGAGAATAATAGAATATAGCAGAAAGGTACAAAGTTCAAAAGTTCAATTCCATATTCTGACTTCAGCAGGCAGTCTACCTTACTTTCTACAGTAATGCCTTAATTTAAGGAGTCCGTCTAACTTGCTTTAACACGACAGTAGGCGGATTTACCAGGCCTAGATTTGCTGCAGGTTCCTTCTAGTTAAAATGTTTTTATTTACAGTATTGCTAAAAGTTTGCCTAATAAAATAAGTTGTTTTTAAATGACGTAATAATGGCTTCGCATTATGCCTGCTTACTCAAGATCAGGAATAAGACTGGTAGATCATTTTACACCAATTTCCATCATTATCTTTATTTAATGCATAGTGATTTAATTAGATTTGCACAGGGGTTCAGTTGGTAGCACTGATCCCATGCAGCAGCTCTGGGGTTGATTTCAGGCTGGGGTCTCTCTGCATTGAGTTTGAATGCACTCCATCAGGATGTGTGGATTCACCCTGGGTACTCCAGCTTCCTCTCATATTTCAAAGACATATAGCGGCAATATTTTTGGACTGTTGGATGTTAGGTGAGGGCTGCTTAGAGGAACAGTGGGTAGCACTGCTGCCTTGCAGCAAGAAGGTTCCAGGTTCGATTCCTAGTCAGAGGTCTTTCTGCATGGTTTGCTTGTTCTCCCTGTGCATGCGTGGGTTTTTTTCTGGGTACTCAAGCTTCCTCCCATAGTCCAAAAACATGACTGTTAGGTTAATTGACTTCTCAAAAATTCTCCTTAGGTGTTAGTGTGTGCGTGAATGGTTGTTGGTCTCTGTGTTGCCCTGCGATAGACTGGCGACTCGTCCAGGGTGTACCCCGCCTCTCGCCCGTAGACAGCTGGAGATAGGCACCAGCACCCCTGGTGACCCCAGCTGGGATAAATCATGATGGAAAATGGATGGATGTTAACTGATGGTTCTTAATTGCCCTTAGGCGTATGTAGATGTTTTGTCCTATGTGTCTCTGACTGGAAAAAAAAATTAGGGTGTACTCAGTAACCACAGGAGATAGGCACCAGCCCCCAGTGACACTACATACAGACAATGGATAACTGGATGTAATTAAAAGTGTTGAATTTAATTGTATTTAGCTGATTTGATATGCTTTGACTGACTGTTGTGGCTGCAACATTCTATATGATAGAGATTGAACCAAACTATACTAAGTGTTTTAGGATGGTCGTTGCTATGACGCTACGTAATTAACTGAATCAAAGATGGCGATAATATTGATCTCTTTAACTCGACTCAGACAAAAAACAGCTTCTACAAAGTACCATTTTAAAAGCAATTAATCGAACACCAACCAAAAAAGTCGACTAGACAAATGTCATACAAAGACAAACACGTAAATGTAAGCAACCGCTGTTTAGCACTGCAATGTGACAACTAACGAGTGCTACTTAGCTTAGCATCATTTTGTAGTTGAGAAGTAAAACACCCTCCGGACTGCTACTTTAAGCTTTACTTATTAGTGCATCTCAGAGCTTCATTAGGTGTTAAACTGCAGACTTTATCCGCTGTAGTTTAGTTCCTTTGGAAGTGAATTGCTATTATCCATAGAAGCCCTTTCAACACAGAAGCTAATGCTAATGTTGAGGTTTTGCAGAGCTTGTGCTCTTCGCATTGATCCAGAAGCTTTCATCGTCAGTGCAAAGATATATTAATTAAACTATTTTACATTTTAAAAGTCATCTTCAGCCCAGCTTGTAATTACGTCGTAGTAGTTATTGATCATCTATAACTGATCCATAACATTAGCCAGTGGGTGTTAGCATGCGAGATCTGACACAAAGACCTGCTGAAGAGGACTGGTTAGTCAGCTCACCCTTTTTACTCCCAGACTCAGGGTTCAAGAGCCCAAACTTTCTGCATAAAGTATGCAGGTAAGTCCGTGTCCTGACAGCGATGGGCTTTGCCTTATTTAGCGCTATACATCACCCAGTAGATGGGGGTGGAGGTGGTGTGCGGTTAGCTAGTCCCAGGCAGCGGAAATACTCGGAGAGAATTGACCAATCACATTCCAGGGAACAGACTGCTTCCCGGTCCCTCTGGCGGCTTTTTAATTTGCTCCATACTCTATGCAGTGGCCCCCCACCCCAACATGTCAGCCTTTATGTTCCTGCAGTGGTGCACAACCATTAAACATATAATTAATCCAATCTTACAGCGTGCTCATAGGTAATAACACTCTGAATGTCTAACTAGTTTTGAATAACTCCAAATAAGTTTAAAAAAGTTAAAAAACAAACCACTGGACTTTGTTTTCGCAGTTAGAAGATATTTCGCTTCCCATCCAGGAAGCTTTTCCAATTCAAAATTTCAAAATTAGTCTTCTAAGCCAGAACAAATCATTCTTTTGGTTTAGAAAACATGCAAAGTTTTATCGTTGTCTCCCTTTTATCTCCTCTTTCTTTTATCTTTTCTCCTTTCTTTTTCTGTTTTTCATTTCCTGTTGTATTTACATTGCATTGTCCATAAAATCTGTAATGGAGCCTAGGCTGAAGTTAAACTGAAGAAACTCATTGATCTCCTACATCCACCTGCAACACAGCCAATCAGCTTTGAACCACACCTCCATGAAAGCCAATCGGCATCCAAAGTTCATCTTAATAGGCCTCCAATACGCACTTGTCTGCTCCTGTGCATGGGCGGTGCATGCGTTCTGTGACTTCATTCAGATGACACCGTTTCAATACAACTGCATCCCATCCGCCACCATCGTAGCTAAAGCTTCATCAGAGTGTCATTCCTCCCGGACTCTTACTGCATTTCCTGTTAAATCTCAACCGGTCCGGAGAAGATCCCCATGTTGAGCCCGGTTCTGCTAGAGGTTCCCAACAGGGAGTTTTTTCTCTCCACTGTTGCTCCATGCTTGCTCATCATGGACAGGTTCTCACAACCTGTGTTATTCAACTGGACTTTCATCTTCCAGGTCCCTGAGTGAAGCTCTAGTATCAGCTCACGCAATCCACTGGATCTCCCCATAAAGCTCAGCATACCGTCTCGCTAACCAGCAGTCTACAGACTGACCAACTTCATTGGTCTCCACTTCATCACCAGTTTCGGGCCTGGGGATGGAAACAGCCCTATTCTTTTCTCCTGTTCATTCATATCTATCAAAATTAAGCGCTGTTTCCCGCTGTCTGAGCACCAAAGACAAAGTAATTGTATTAATAAATTTCTCCTAATTGTCTTTTCTCTTCGTGTGAGTTTTTCAGATTGAAATACTCCCTGCATGAATTATCTCCTTCTATGATCACCAAACAGTCCAGAAAAGGTAGGTTGTTGTCGCTGACATTCTCTCTGGTGAACTTGATGTTGTGGTCAACCGAGTGGATGTGTCTTGTTAAAGCTTCCACTTCTTTTAACTGGATCGTAATGAATGTGTCACCCACATATCTAAACCAGTGGCTTGGTGGTGTTACTCTGAAGGTGCTCAAAGCTCTCTTTTTCACTTCTTCCATGTAAAGATCGGCTACAATTGGTGGCACTTGAGATCCCATGGCACAACCATGCTTCTGTCTTAAGAAATGATCATTTTTTTTGTATTAATATTTTTATTAGGAGTAAGAGAGACATTACAGACAAAATTTAAACTGTAAACAACATGGTATGCCATATCGAACATACATATATATGGATAGTAACATAATGAAAGGCATACAATTTAGCTCCTGTGGGTTTTTTTTTTTCCTTACAAAACTGAACAGAGTACAATGTATATATA